CGGAAGGCCTTTGGAGTCAAGGATTCTGAAGCTTCATCTGACATACTTTGGGCATGTTGCAAGGAGGGACTGGTCCTTGGAGAGTGCCATCATGTTTGGCAGCGTGGAGGGCCGGCGAAGGAGAGGAAGACCTTCGATGAGATGGATCGATTCTGTGACTGGAGTGGTGGGAATAACTGCATTTGAGATGGCTAGGTTGGCACAGGATAGAAGAGCGTTTTATAGCTCTTGTACATAGGGTCGCTCTGAGTCACAAGCGATTCAATGGCACATAACAACAACAACTAAGAAACTGCAGCTGTTGTGTGGAGAGGTTTGGACTTCACTTTTTTTGTTTTGTTTTAAATTTATTATAAATTTCAATGAAAATTTACAGAGACTTTGGATTGCCATTGATTCATTTGCTACACTTTTCTCCCCTTCCAACCCTATCTCCTAGTATACTACCCTCTTGGAAAGGTAAAAGAAAAAGTCTTTCATTGTTTTACAATCCCTCCCCCCCCCAGGTCCACTCCACTATACATCCTTCGTTCTGGACTCCTATAATGACAAAAGTGCCTAATAACATATCCCTCTTAAACAGTTTTCTCCCTCATCTTTTTCAATGCAGTATACATTATTGAACCCAACTTTCTCAGTCTCCCCCAACCCCGAAGTCAGTTGGCACCATTCAGTATGTGTCCTTTTGTGACTGACATATTTCACTCAGCATAATGTCCTCTAGGGTCACCCATTTTGAATAATATTGCATGAGTTCCTTGTTTTTCAATGCAGCATAGTACTCCATTGTGTGAATATACCACAGCTTTTCTATCCATTCATTTGTTGATGGGCACTTAAGTTGTTTCTAACTCCTTGCTATTGTGAACAAAGCTGTGATAAACATGGGTATGCATATATTTGCTTGGATGTCAGTTATGGTCTCTTTGGGGTATATTCCCAGTAGTGAAATTGCTGGATCAAATGGTATCCCTATTTGTAACTTTTTGAGAAAGCGCTATACCACCTTCCATAGTGATTGCACCATCTTACACTCCCACCAACAGATAATAAGGGTTCCAGTTTCTCCACAACCTCACCAGCATTTGTTGCTTGCTGTTCTATTAAATTTTGCTATTCTTACTGGGGTGAGATGATATCTCATAGTTATTGAAAGGTCATCCGTTGGGACTTAAGTGTGATGGACAGTATTTCCTGGGTAGCCCATACCATTGAGAGTAAGTTGATAATTAAGCCATGAATAAAGCATACACCTTGCCATAAAGAGCTTTCTCACTGGAGTAGAAAAGCAAAAACTGAATACTTTTAACACATGAGCCTATACTAGCACACATCAAATCAGCTGTGATGCATGGTAGCCACACATGTAACAGGGTGAAACATTCCTTGCCTGTGCATCATCCTCACACCATGTTGTGCTTGGCAGACCAGTTACTATTGTTAAGTGCTGATAAGCCATTTCTTACTTTTAATAATCCCATGATCAACAGAAAAAACCACTGTCCAGTCACACTGTCCTCTACTATTCTCACAGTTATTAGTTTTTAGCCCATTGTTGCAGCCACTTTGTGAACTGACCTCACTGAGGATCTTCCTCTTCGAAGAATGGTGTCCTCCAGGGTTAGGATACTATCCATAGTCATATAAGGAAGACCTGTTAATATAACTGTTGTTCAAATATACATACTAACAACTAAAGCCAGAGATGGAGAGATTGAGGATTTCTATCAACTTTTGCAATCTGAAATTGATTAAATATGCAGTAAAGATTCATTGATAATAATTGGTAACTGAAAAACTAGAAACAAGAATGATGGGTAGTCAGAAAAAGTGTACCAGTATTTGATAAGTGACTGTGCAATCCTCAAGCATAGAGCCGCTGGAAACAGAGAGAATAGTCTGTGGGATGCTGGGCAAAGGAAGAGTAGAAGGGCCAATATTTTGTTAACTCTGATTATGTTTATCTCCTATCACACCATGACTGGACATATCAGATGCTTCCAATTGGTCAATATTACCATCACCACTTCCACAGAGACATGGACACTCAGGCACTCTGGAAGCATTTAAAATGAGAATAAGGCCTGATACTGCCCAACAGCAGAGTATCTGTGTGCCCTTCCTGTCAAAACACATGAGCATCTGATGTAGGGTAAGGATATAAATGTCTGTGTCTGTGTGTGTGCACAGAGTAGGGGCAATTGAAGGGGTCAGATTTGGGCAAGCAGGGTTTAAAAATCATTTTTGGGAAGCAGACATGGTCTCTCTGGGGTATATTCCCAGTAATGGGATTGCTTGGTCAAATGGTATCTCTATTTGCAATTTTTTGAGAAAGCGCCACACCGCCTTCCACAATGGTTGCACCATCTTACATTCCCATCAACAGTGAATAAGAGTTCCAGTTTCGCCACATCCTCTCCAGCATTTGTTGCTTGCTGTTCTGTT